CATTTTGATTTTTCTGTTTGCAGGGCATTATGGGCCAGAGTGTACCAGTGCCTGCAACCTCAACATCTGTCAGCACGGCTCAACCTGCCGGCCATCCAGCGCTTCTCCCTATGGTTACATCTGCGAGTGCTCAGGTCAGTATTACGGTGACCACTGCCAGAATGAGGTGGAGGAGTGTGACGATGACTGGTGGGGCTACAAGATCTGTGGGCCCTGTGAGTGTGATGAGGGAAGAGGCTTCAGTTCAGACTGCAATAAAACCACTGGTGAATGTTACTGTGAGGTGAGTCACTTTGTCTCTACTGTTACCAACGTGTTTGAGAGAAGTTAAACAATCTTCAAAATTTAAACATGCACCAGTTAAGAGCATGTAAACTTGTCCTAAATGGACCCACCAAAAATCTTCAATATTTTAACCAACTGATATTAAAGTTGACTAAAGTTGCATGACTATTACATATATACCAAACTTGTTGATGATTGTCATCAGTAAACAGGTTTTAAGGATTCCCACAACTGTTTCTCTTTTAGTTAATGTATTTTAAATCATGGCCAAGTGGTAATTTAAATCAGGCAGACTTTTCTCCAGTGCCATTTTATTGTACCTTAACCACTTGCTGCCGGGGGACCTGTTTTCAAGCACATAGACTCAAAGCCGGGGAGCCCAAAACCGGGACAAAAGAGCTAGGCCTTGTAACAAAAGACCGTGCTCAGCACAAAAGACTGAGCTGCTGGGCATTGCCGACATTTTTTCACTCTCAATAGTGGAGATAATCCAGCCTTGTTTTGAAACAGTATACCACGGTTTGGGCATTTAGAGGCAAGTGGATTACCACCGGGGACAAAAGCGCTCCACCACCGTAGCGATCATCCACATAGCACCACTGCACGCTAATCTGGCCCCTATTGATAAGAGGTCAGCTTCGCACTGTGCCAGGTTCGTGAACAAAAGAGAGTTATATAATACTGCACAATCTGGGCTATTTTTACAAGGCTGCAGGTCTGACTGAAATACTCTGGCATCAATAGATTTTGTCTGTCAGGCTAGAGTGGCCATCAGACAGTATTCCGTGTGAGTGTAAACGTCCATTAATTGAAATGATGAACTTTTGAAGAATTTTGAAAACCGAAAATCTTGAAAATCGCCTGTATGTGTGCACTACATTTTTCAAACCACCCGGCAGCCAGTGGTTAAAACCAATCTTGGAAAAAATTTCTTGTTTGATCTTGGCAGGAAAACTATTACCAACCAGTAAATAGTGACTCCTGCTACCCATGTAACTGTTACCCAGATGGGTCATATGGACCAGAATGTGACCATCAAACTGGACAGTGTTACTGCAAGAGGGATGTAATGGGCAGGGTATGTGACTCCTGTGCTGACCCCTATGCTGAGGTCACACTCCAAGGTTGTAAAGGTCAGTTACAGTTCAACCTAATTGGTTTTCTTTTTCTTAAATGTCCACTTAGTGTCCATCTGTGGCTTTATCAGCTTCAAATGTTTACTGCAGAAACCAAATGACAATTCTTCCAACTTTGGTCTCACATTAGACAACTCAACGTTTATGCAGCAGCAAAAGGAAGGGTGTAAAGGGACTACACTCAAAACATAGAATCAGGAAGCTGATGTTGAAAGGAAGCCAAGATTTGAGAAAAAACAAATATAATGGAAATGTTCCTGTGTTTATTGAGGAGAAGCTACGCTTTGCATTCTGGTGGGAATGTATTGTTTCCAATGTTTCCTACTTGGAAAAGTCCATTCTTCTGTAGCACAAGTGTGCACAAAGACTGAAACCTGACGTAATGTAGGACACATTTCCTTCAAAGGTTTTTCTGATTTTCTGTAGACTTCTGCCCTCTGTGTTGTTTGCTTAGTGCAGCTTTCCAGTAGGTGTGCTCACAGAATGCAGTCCCAAATGTGCATGTGTGTATTTGGATGAATTGACCTTGTGTCAGATGTCAGAAGGGTATCACTGTATTGGTCCTTCTTACTGTCTTCATCTCGAAGATATTGAAGCTTTATTCAGACTATGCGTATGGACTGAGAATTCCACTTGAGGATTCCTGGCAGTTCCAGAGTGGGCCTAGATGAGAAGCGTGAGCATTTGAAACCTTGGCAAACAGTAAGAACACTGCCTAGAACCCATCTTAAACTCTGTCTTTACAGTGGTGTATGACTCTTGTCCGAAGCGCTTTGCTGAGGGAATCTGGTGGCCCAAAACCAAGTTCAACCAAGTGGCATTGGTAGACTGCCCTCCAAACTCATTTGGCAAAGCCAGCCGACAATGTTCACTGGATGACAATTGGCTGGAGCCTGACCTCTTCAGATGCATGTCAGAGGCTTTCCATGCACTCACTGACATGGCAAGTAGTTGTTTTCTTATATTAAATGAATGAGCTAAGAGCAACTGAGCATAGAAATGAAGATTTTGAATTTGAAACTAATGTAACTGGCTATTATTAGCACTGTTCTATGTATTTTATGATCTCTGTTATTACCGGAAATTGCATTTATGTTTCGTTACATTTCATTACATTTCATTAGGAAAAAAGTTGAATAGCTTAAAGGTGCTTTTGTTTGACCATGAAAGCACTGATATGTTGCTGTCAGTGTTAAGTTTAAAGAGTTGCTCAATGGGTTGCCCATATGGCAAACATTCTTTAAAACCTCAAATTCACATTAACAGTTCCATACCCTGTTGGGTTTGTTTCTTTCATTCTTTTTCCTTTTTTTGTTTTACTCAATAGATTGCCGATCTTCAGAAAGTCAAGCGTCTGAACCCAGATTTGTCCTTCTCTGTTGTGGAGAAAGTTCACCAGGCTACCCTAGAGACAGAGAGGATGTATGGAGCGGACGTTAACTTCACCTACAATGTCTTGGTCTTGGTGCTGAACCATGAGAGCAAACAGGAAGGGCTGAATGTGACTGCTGCCATCAGGAGCTCCTTCACAAGGGTGAGTTGGTCTGGATTGAACTGAAGGCGTACTGTTGTGGCTGTGATGAGAAATATGTTTTGCTGTGGTCATTTATTGACTGATTTTGCAACTTTGGTAGTGCCGATATGATGTCACAGTTAAAACTGATTTAAAATGGCAGAAAATAAGCAGGCAGTTCTTTGGTCT